TAAGAGTTTTACGGCACTTGCAACACAATAAGTTCAAAAAGAGCCAAAGATTAGAGGGCGGGTGGTTGGTGGGTGCTCTGGTGTGGTTTGCTCCTTCTTTCCTATAAAAAATCTATCGTCTCTATCTCCCCTCCTTCTTTTTTGTGTTTGTACCTCTAATCTTCTGGCACTCATATGACCTTATGCAGTTACGAGCGCCGTAAAACCTCTACTAAAACTAAACTAAAAGATTAGAGGTATTACAAGAGAGTAAGAAACAGAAAATAAAAAGAAGGAGAAGAGATCAGGATGATAGATGTTTGATAAGAAAGAAAGAGCATACCACACCAGAGCACCCACCAACCACCCGCGTCATTCTAGAAACATCATATTCTTCTTCCAACAGATCCCTTAGATTCTCGTTAGCGCTCTTCTAATGAACTCAAATAAAATACTAAAATGTATACGTTCTGTATGAAAAAGTTGGCATTTTTTAAAAATAGTGATCATGTTTTTATTTATGTTTTTAGAATAATTATAATGCTTCACGCTTTTCAGAAATCACTTTTTAAAGATATTTATTTCTTTTTTTATATTTTTTATTTTTACTGTATCGCCCAAAAAGAATCAACTATTTCTCTTTTGACTTGTGTAAGTATGCTTTAACCTCTACCTCTGTTTACAAGGCATACCTAAGAATAAGGTTACATATTACCTATACATACACACCAACACCAACTCATACACACACACACATGCACACACACACACTCACACACATACACTCATACTCCGAGTGAGAGAGAGAAAGAGAGAGAGGGAGGGAGAGAGAGAGAGAGGGAGAGAGAGAGAAAGAGAGGGGGGGGAGATAGATAAGGGGAAAAGGACAGACAGACAGACAAACAGACAGAGAATAAAATAGGAAGGCGAGAAAGATACAAATAGGCTTCGAGCGTGAGGTTCGAACCCATACCCTCTGGCTGCCTCCCTGGGATCATCCTGATATTCATCCGGCTCTGGTCTGCCCCCGCCTCCTCCTTTTCTGGGCTTGGGGGCGGTTGGTGGACCGATCTTCCTGGGAACATCAAAGATTGTTGTGCCGTGAGAAAACAAAAAGTACAATTCGTGATGATATCATTAAATGGAATGACATTTTTCATAAGATATATCGAATTGGAACAAAATAATATATTTAAAGTTAATGTCAGATATACAACAGCAGCAGCAGGAGCAGCAGCAGCACTATCATCATCATCATTATCATCATCATCATCATCATCATCATCATCATCATCACCAGCAGCAGCAGCAGCAGCAGCA